ATGGCCTAAAGAAGAACCATATTGGTTTTGAAGTCAAAAGGTCAAAGTTCAAGGTCATAAATTCATACATTCCGTCTGTGTGTAACACTTTCGTTTCCGGTTGATATCTCAAGAAGCTTTTGAGCTTTTGCAATGAAATTTTATAATATCGCCCCTCTCAAAGTGTCCCGTCCCGTTTTTTTTATGCATTGTATTAAAAGTCGCGTAGCACTATTTTTAGCACAGGGGCATGTGGAGAGTTATTACGTATAAAACAGGTTGTCGGCGGACTTTATATTCTAATTACATCTATTAGAACTGTTTAGTAAAGGCTGAATTAGACACCATGTATTGTGTAAAATTTTGACAATTTCGAACGTGAATCTAAACATAATATGTGACCTAATTTATTGTATGGTCTAGTGCCTCCGTGGTCTAGGGGTATGACTCTCGTTTAGCATGTGAGAGGTTCAAATCCCGGTCGATCCTTTTTTTTGGGGGGGGGGGTGGATATACTAAATGATAGCATTCACCATGTGAAATGAAAAAAGTACAAACTCATAAAATCATTATTACAGTGTGATAAATATTCTATATAGAAAGAATCTTCTATACACATATTAAAGAATAAGCAATCAAATCTTTATATGAATATTGGCATATTTTTTTGCTTCAATATACATGTATACATTTAATAATTCTACAAATCCAGGGGGAGGGAGTCCGACACCCCCCCCCCCCCCCCGAACTGCGCGTGCTCTTCATTTTTCCCTAAGCGGGAGACACAAATTCTCTGAATTAGCTTGTAGTAAACGGACCTGATTTTTTTTTTACATACATGTACTAATAAACAAAAGATAAGAATTTAATTAGACATACGTCATTCTTCAAAGTTAACAAAATATTTCCCGTAAATCAACGTGTCCGCGAACTGTTCTAAAAATCCTCGTACATTGAAGAATAAGATTTCACGTTCCCAAATAAATTTATTATCTCTAGTGTATATGCTTAAAGGCGCTAATTCTTGTAGAAAAATAGCATGTGTTTTTTAAATAAAGTTTCATCGGTACAATTGCAACTACTAATAATGGTATAAAGCTAACTATTGAAATAATTATTTCATTAATAGCGGTTCTATATCGGTGACCCGCTTTTGTAAAACGCTAGACTAAGTTCGAAGGAAATACTGAATTCACGGACGTTTCAAGCAGGAAAATTGGTTTTACTATTTTTATTGGTAGTGCAGATTATCTATGAATGTAGGCGAAAATGTTACATACAGTGATAGATTACGGATAAATGGTATGTTGAGGTTTAGAGAAGTGATATTTTGGAGAAATAACAGTGTAAAGCGGGTGTCACTTTCATTGTTGCAATCTTTATACAAACTTGGATTGTGGTGATGGGTTTGAAATGCATTCTCAATATCTATTGAAATGATTATATCAATAGTGAGCATAAATTTCATTAATGGTTGCATCGTATTGTTGGATTTGAAATGCATACTTAACCACAGTTGAAACAATTATTTGTGGGCGTTGTTTCGGTAGATGTTACAGAGTCGTATTTGCTTTGAAATGTTATTAACCACTATTGAAATAATTATTGCAATGCTGTTGTAATCCAGTAGTGGTTAATACAATGGTGTGTAGTTTATTCAAGAGATTGCTTCCATATAATCTAATTCTCATTAATATTCATAAGATACATTAAAGTGAACACGACTCATAAATACACTGTAGGCATACGCCATATTCGATTATACTTTCTACGATATCAGCACCGGGGTATACCCTTCGCATTCGTTACACCTGATTGCTTAATTGTCACGGGTATCGGCTTGGAATAGCGACATGTGTTCGTGCTGGTTATCTTTCATTATCTATGTTTACATTTTATTGCAGTTAGGTGTACTTTGTTTGTTTGTACTCTGCAGTGACCTGTTCAAATGTTGTTAGTTTCTTCGGTTTCTTACTCTTCTGCATTACAGGAGTACTCAGATATTTTTGTCGCTACCGGATGCTGTGTAGCATGCGACTGTCTACACCGGTGAAGACTGATATCGCTGAACAGTGACTAAGTGAGCGGCTTTATATAGGGGCCCTCAGATATACCGAGTGAATAATCGAATATGGCAGACAAATTTCTTTAACGAAGTGTGTTCAGCTTTAAGGGATAAAATTGTTAAGAATGAGTGGACTTAACGCCCGATTTTAGGTCTTTTTTAGAAACCCTCTATCGATCTGTAAATGAAGTGAATCCAAAATATTTTACAAGCAACAGCAAGATCTACATAAACTATACACATGATTATATTAAGAAGAAAATTTGTGCAAAAACAGTGCCTTATTGCCATGAATCAAAATTGAAGCAACGACACATTGGGGTCGCCGTCCGGAATTTGACATGTACCCGGAGTGGTTTTTAGGTCACATAATGATTATCAATAGGAAGCGGGCTATTGATCGGCGTCAGTGTCGACATCTCTCTCTCTCTCTCTCTCGAAATTCGAATATGTATAGGGGATATGTTTCAGCATTGTCAATATAAAATTAATAGATTTCTCTGGTAAATTAATATTGTGAGGACACACACACACACACACACACACAAAAAAAAAAAAAAAAAAAAAAAAAAAAAAAAAAAAAAAAATTTTAATTTGCTTAATTGTGTGAATGGCAGACCAACCAAACACGCTCTAAGACGTAATTTAGATTGAGTTCACGCGTTTAAGAACATAATGTAATTGTTTTCAAAAGTACACTCACAGTTTCACACCACGTGATGAATTGTATTATTCAACAGATCAATCGAAGTCAAATCAAGGTTAATACAGTCATAACAATGAAAGCGAGATATCTGTTTTGAACATGTTTTGTAAAATTAAGTATGAGCGCACGTTTGTTGGCTTATCTCCTTTTGATACGACAATATATTGTTCAATATACAACTACAGTTTTCTTAGGAACAGCCGACAAACATACGCTATGTATACAGACGATGAAAAAAGCGTGACTCTGATTATCTTTTGATATTCACGAAATCTTCAGGCCCCATGCCTTCGATATATGTTTGGTTTTCCTCGAAAAGAGAGTTTTAAATGCATATCTGTAGCAAGCATACACAATTAAGATATCGATGATTAATATGATGGAAAGAAATAAACATCTTTTTAAATTTCAATTTACGGTCTTTTTTCAAGACTCTTTTAAGTCCACCCATTCATTGAGAACTAAATTTATGAAGATTTCTTGGAATAACGCATTTTTTAAAATCGATTTAAAAAGCAAATATTCATATTCATACCTCTTCGTAAATATAGATGATGTCGTGTGTTAGTAAAACGAAGATGACATTTAGGCTATTGATACTGAGTTTTTGTCCATAAAAGCCATGTACACAGTGTCTATCCGACATACAAGAAATTGCGGAAGTTCTTGCGTATCGAAGCGTTTAAACAAACCTAGAGAAGAACAAGTACCTGTTAAATTGCAAGGTGAGCATGGTTATTGACATACAAACATCATTATGCATATTCCTACATATTTTCATAATCGTTTGCTCACATATTTACACATGCATGTAACGTTTGTATGTTGTTTATAGTTCACAAGAAATATAATTATTTCCCTAAATGGCAAATATTGAAAATTATGATACAGAACAATGTCATATATGCTTCGGAGTTTTATATTTAAATGTTAAGGTTTGAAATTGCTACTGTTGTTTGTTCTGGAGAAGTGCTATAAATATATATTCGATCAATGTGGGAAAATATACACGTCGAAACAAGGCTTAACACTGCATGAACTTGGTCCGTTGATTAGGTCATCAAATTGTAAACTTTTGATTTGAATGTTTTTTGAGACTGGATTTGAAATAAAAATTTGTCTTGGTGTTTCATTTTATTTGGAATAATTTTGTCTTTTCTTTTCTTGCTCTTCGTTGTGCAGTCATTTTCAGAATTGATATCCCACTTCAATGACAGTAATGTTAGAAAAAAATTCTTAATTTTTTCCCCCGCTTTCACTGAAAGTTGGGGATATTAATTTGGGTCTGTCTGTCAGTCCGTCCGTCCGCCTTACTGTCTGCTTTAACACTTTCGTTTCCGCGGGATATCTCGAGAAACCTTTGAGCTTTTGCAATGAAATTTCTCAAGTAGCCTATGGAAGACCCCTAAATGATTTTGTTATGTTATATTTAATTGCAAAAGCTCAAAGGCTTCTCGAGATATCGCGCAGAAACGAAAGCGTTACAGACAGACAGAAAGACGGACGGACAGGCAGACCCAAATTAATGTCCACCACTTTCAGTGAATAAGTGTCAATAGTCTGAATTAAAATTTTATGAATATTTAAGGAGAAATTAAAAAAAAAACGCAATCGTTTGCTCACATATTTACACATGCATGTAACGTTTGTACGTTGTTTATTGTCCACAAGAAATATAATTATTTCCCTAAATGGCAAATATTGAAAATTATGATACAGAAAAATGTCATGTATGCTTCGGAGTTTTATATTTTTGAATGTTAGGGTTTGAAAACAGGGGCAAAATAGGTACATGTATTAGAATTCACTTGTACCTCAATACATGATAGAAATTTATTTGTCGATGAAGTCATTTAACTTTATAATTGTAAGATAAACCCTGTAATTAGTTTATTATTTATAAATTTATTATAGATTATAGACGTTATAAAGTGTTCACATTATGTCTTTTTTCATAACCCCATGACTGCATTATGTTGTCAACCAAGAAACGCAACAACTTCCAGTTTTTTTAGTATGTGGGTTAGATACTGTGATGTATAGGCATTGTAACTTCAAAATATGAGAGAAATCTTACATTCTGAGTATTGTAAACATCAATATAGGTCATATATTTAGTTGCGAGTAGATAAATGGATTCCAACACTAAATCATTAATTACAATCATACTAGAGCATACACAAAAAATGATCAATTCACAATTAAAAATCGGAGTGACATAAATTGTAATGTTCCTTAATCAGTTCGGTCGTAAGTGTTGCATTTATTTCACACTTAAGGATTTACTTGAATTTCTCGAACATCTTCATAATGGTTATTTTCCTCTTTTAAGTGTTCCTCCACTTGTTCCTCGGTTTTGACGCATTTTCGAAAGAACAAGTACAAAATTAGCATGACAAGAAATACAGCAAGCAAACCAAGAACAGATATCTTCAGAGTGGGAAATGAACTCAGTTGTGGTGCCGTTTTGTTAGACGAAAAGGAAATATCCTTGGTATTAAAAATAAAGCCGCGAGAAGTTGTTTTCTTTTCAACATAATTTGTTTTAGTTGATTGCGCAATTGTAGAATCTGTAGAATACAAGCTTTAATTTAAAGAGTCTCATTTGGTACAATAAAATATGGACGATACAATTTCAAAGATGTTTGCCGAAGAACTATTTTCATACCTTCATATTTTGAACATCCTTTTCTAAAATCATAATTATCTTTGCTTTGATTAGGAGAGCACATCATCTGACAACCCATTCCATAGTCAGGATATTCACATGTCTCATTACAGAATTCACCTACATAGCCTGGTCCACAAACTAAAAAAAAAAGACAAAATATTTGTAGCATTATTTGTTGCACGGTGTTTTTCACTAATATAATTAAAGGCAAAACAAGGTTAATTGATGGATCGTTTCTTCACCACTATTATCTAAATAAAAAAATATTATATAGAATACACATGCGTATAATAACAATTTTGAACCCCTCACCCCTTCTCTCAACAGAAAACTATTTAACGAAGCAACCTGGCCAATTTTGAAAATAATTTCCTACTTGGGAATTTAAGATATTTCCCTGATATAATTCTATAACTGAATACTATGGTTACTACATGTCCATATACTGCTCGTACTATGCACGTAAACATTTCATTAAAATAGATACAAATGAAACACAAATGTACTACTGAAGTGAATTAGAATAAAATAAATATTTAAATATACACAAGTAACATAGGATATGATATGTTTATATAGTGGTTGCAATGTTAAGAAAACATTTCAGTGAAAAATTAATGGGGAAAGAACGATTGCACTTAGTGTACAAAACGTGGCCCCCGGTAAATTGCGCAAAAATAAAGTATAGAAAATAGCCCCATGAGATGAATAATGCGATTTTTCTATGTCTAAATCGCAACTTCGCGAAATTACAGGAATTAAAAGTCCATAAAAATAAAGAACGAAGCTGTGTTTTGTAAGAGAGGTCACTGCAATTCACGAATCTCCATTGATATTCAAAGTTTCCGATTTTTAAAGCCTTAATACATGATGAGCGCATTGCTGCCAAAATTTCTCAAAAGAACAGAAGGTGTATAATTGTTGGAAATTCATCATATTTAAAGGATAATTTTGGGCAAGCCTGCGCTCGGGGTAAACTTTTTGAAAAAAGGTACAAAACACCGACCGTTTCCTTCACTATTCACGGGTATTTACATGTCATTGACCTCATTATGACCTGTTAAATATTCCGATTTATCACGTGATTTGTAGACTCTGGTAACTTTGTGAATACTAAAAAAAAATATATATATATCAATAAATCACGTGGCTTTAGCTCCGATTAGCAGTTCAGACCGTTACATTTTCAATTGATCAACATCGAATTATTTTTTTCTGCCCAGAATTTTTAGTAGTGCTAAATATCGCAAAAACATTCATTATTTTGTGAGTAAATTTAACAATTTTTGAAAATTTCCATACCTGCATTTTTTGTTGTTGTTGTAATTTTGCGTATTTTTCTCTGTAATTTTGCTTACTAGTATTTGTTTTTATTTTTCTCCCCACCCCTTCTTTTTGGTACATTTTCTACAATTAAGCTTTGTTTATTTTATATCAATTATGTATTTACGTTGACCTTGATGTAGGGAGAGGGCTAAAATAGGCTGATCCTTCTATTAAATTCCGTTTACTTCTCTTAACAAAATATTCTTGAAATTAAAACATACATCTGTATTGATTTCAAAAGAGTTCAATATATACTTTTCAAAGGAGTTCTTTAGATTTGTATAAAATTCCTTTTTTGGTAAAAGCCAGGCCCGTAGGAAGCAATTTCAGTTTTGGGGGCACAGCCATACATTTTCAGTGGGGGCACTCTTAACTACCAAAAATTCCTTGACAAGCAAAAAAAGGGGGGAGAGGCATCAGACATAATTATTGAAGGGCCACACGTTTATGCATGGATGGTATGGTAGCTATGTTTTCTATAGTGTTCTATATATATCGGCAAAATTAGGGGGGGGGGGGGGGGCTCCGTGCACCCCCCGGTTCCTATGGCCATGAAACCGATCATAATAGTGGCATCCGTTGGATATTAATATTGCTCAGGTATTAGGTCCACATTCGAAGACAGAAAAAATAATGATGCTACCATTCATAAGAAATGTATTTGACTGACGAGGTTTATAGAATTTTAAATGGGGTAAAATGTAATAATATTTTAGTTTTAGTCCTTCAATTTAGGGGTTCGCTTGGGGGCTCAATGAGTTTCTAAGGCATAGTCTACATCTAAACAATAGCATAATTCTTCAAAATGTTTCTGACTGTAAAAATATGGGTACACGGGGTAGAAGTACGTAAAGATTGTTAAACACTGGAAAGCTTATTGGGACAAAAAATAACAAAACAAAACAAACAAGCATTCTGAGAGTATTGCATTAGCAATACTAGTCCCCTACCGGCAAGTGTAATCTGGTTCCGTTCCCGTTAAGAATTGAAAATGTCATAATTCCGTCAAAAATTAATGAAACGGGACGAAATGCAAACTTGATCTATAACTAATCAAGGTAAAGCCACGTACCAAAAATCAGCTCAATATCTACAAGCGTTTAGAAGAAAATTGCGGAAAACCCGTAAAAATTGAAAAGGCCGATATTCCGTCAAAAATCAATGAAGCGGAACGAAATGCAAACTTGATCTGTAACTCATCAAGATACACTCACATACCAAAAATCAGCTCAATATCTGCAAGCGTTTAGGAAAAAAGTGCAGAAAACCAAGTGGGACAGACTGACAGACAGACAGAGGGACAGACAGACAGACGGACAGACAGACAGACAGACGGACGGACAGACGGACGGACAGACTCAGAGGAAACCTATAGTCCCCTCCGGTTTCACCGGTAGGGGACTAACAAGCAGATATACATTAATGAAATTGTTTTAGCGATTAAATATCACTACAGCATTGCAAAAAATGTTTTGTTTAGTTATTCCGTACACCAGTATTTACCGTCCTTAAGAACGGAGAGAGAGAGAGAGAGAGTTTTATATTATTTTAAAAATTCGATACGACACTAATCTTTTTGAAAATACAGAAGAAGTTGTTTTTCTTTTACACTATTTTTATTTTTTCATTAAAATAATGTGAAGTGTGTGTTTAAATGTACAAGTAGGCCTGGTTTATTTAGTGTTGATTTTCTACGTATACGCCACGTAGGTTTCTTAAATTGCGATCGCAACTTACCCTATTTAAAATTTTAAAAAAATATTTTCGAAACAAATGTAACCTGTCATTCACCTGTTGTTTTTTAAGTAAGCTGCTATATTTTGTTTATTTACAATATGACTTCAATGATCTACCATAACCTACCAAAAATTGGGGAAAAAATCTGGATTTAGGGAAGGAGTACATGTACATCTTCAAGATCTCCCCGCATCCCTCTTTCCAAAAAAAAAAAAAAAAAAAAAAAAAAAAACTGGCTTAAGCCTTGAGAAGTTTAAATATGTTCTTTGTGTTTACTTTTTGCGTATATTTTTTTTTTATTATATCATGCTGAGTAGTTCCCAGAAACCATTATTTAACTGGCTATTACATGTTTTCAATCGATCGATGAAATGCCCCGCCTACTCCGAATATTAATGAGACACAATTAAAAACCCAGCTCGGACAAGGGCAACATTCAGGAATTAACACTCACTAGTAGACATTTTTTATTGCCTTTAATAAAACTAAAGCGCCGTTTTCAATGTAAATTTTTGCAAGTAATGTACCACACAGATAACAAAATATGGGTTAGGTGTAAATTAATTACAATTTGAGTTAATTAGATGATGGTAGAGGGGTCCGAAAAAGGGGCCACGGCAATATGCTTAAGTGGAAACATTCTTTTACATAAATAGCACCAACAGTGTTATATCCTGCTTGATATAAAATCAGAAAAATTATCCACTTATCAAAGATAGTTGAAACTAGAGCCGAGCTCGTTGCAATGCAACGAATAGGTCTTCCGTCGGAGCTCCTGACAGGACAGAGCGACCTTGAGTCAAGGTCATGCAACATTTTAAGGTTATAAACAATCCTGTAAGGGGCATCAACTTTCAATGTTTCAACAGTAGAAAGACAGTAAAGGAATGTAAAATTCCCCTGTCAGTGAACTTGAACTTGTCCAAATAACCTTGCGTCAAGCCATGACACATTCTGCAGCTTGTTAAGAGCAAACACCATCTTTATGTCACCGACATAAAAAAAATTCATAGTCACGTATTCTTTCAGACTATTCATCCAAAACATCATATTCTAAGTGACCTCGAATTTAAGTCAAGGCCATTACACACTCTGGATGATATATTTATAATCTTTTCAGTGAAATGCAAATGCATGCAATTTTTTCAATTACAAAATTATAGACCTTTTTGTTTATTTGTTTGTATGGTGTTTAACGTCCCTTTCGAGAATTTTTCAATCATATGGAGACGCCACCATTTGCCGATGGAGATCTGCCAATTTTGACCTATACTCGGCATACATGGCCATTGAGCAGTGAGGGATCTTTTTCGTGCCAGCACCTACTGCCAGACGGGACCTGAGTTTGTACGGTCTCATCCGAAGGATCAGTCTCTGCGTCCCACAGTGGGATTCGAACCTGCGACGTAAGGATCAACTCCTTAATCCACGACTCTAGAGCAGACACTCTTACCACTGCGCCACTTGACGACTAGACCTTTTTGAATTTTACACTTATTATATCAGTGACCTTGAACTTGCCTAAATGACCTATGTTAAGGTCAAAAACAACCTTTGAACAAATTATGAGCTTCCAGTGATACTCAATGACAAAGATATACCTGAAAAAGAATATTGCACTTCTCTGTCAGTGACCTTGAACTTGCCAGAAAGACCTTGGATCAAGGTCAAAACACATTCTTGGATCATAAGCAATCTCTGTATCAAGTAAAAGCTTCCAGTGATGTTATATAACAAAGTTATAGCATGGGAAAAAAATATTTATCTGCCAGTGACCTTGAACTTGCCGGAAAAACCGTTGTTCAAGGTGAGGACAAACCCATCTCAAGCAATCTGAGAAAAAGTTTCCTGTGTTCCTCCCACCCTTATAAATTGATAATCCAGGCACGAATTTTGCCACTTCTTCTGCCAGTCTAGTACTATGTTATCTCAAACCGGTGGATCATAAGCAATCTTTGTTCCAAGTATGAGCTTCCAAAATTATAGCACATACAGTAATCTTACACTTTTCTGTCAGTGACCTTGAACTTACAGGAATGACCTTGGATGAAGGTCGTGTCAAACCCTTTAAATTT